TCCGCATCTCTGGCCTGTACCCCAGTTCTATATGAATAAATAAATAAATCTTTAAAAATAAAGAAATAAAATAAAATAAATAAAATCTTAAAACACACAAGACTTCAGGAGATAACTGTCCTTTGGTGATTTGTTTTTAACTATAAAAATTATAGTAAATAAGACCCAATTCTGTTTTTCAAATCACTCACAGAGATATTAATACATGATTTCAATTCAAGATCTGAATTGCATGGTGGACTCTGGAGTGCTTAGCAGGTCCTGCTATTTGCAATGAGTCTGAGGGCAATGGAGGAACTTCAAATTAAGAAATGCCAAACTCCCCCATTCACCTATGTGAACTTCTGTGGCTCCTTTGTAAAATGAGGTGTTAGGCAGAGTCAGGCCATCTCCCCTCCCCAAAAACGTCCATTTCCTAATCACTGTGACCTATGATATGTGACCTGTGCGGTGGCAGAGGGAGCGTGCAGATGTGATTGAAAGAGGGTCCCTGGCGTGCAGCAATGGCCCTGAATTAGCTGGGGGAACCAAAATCATCACAGCTTCTTCATAAGGGAAAGCGGGATGAAGCCAGAGAACTAGACACAGAGATGTGACAATAGAAGCAAATAGAAGTGAATGAGGAGGGAAGAGGTAAGAAAGGGAGAGAGGTTGATTTTTATTTCAGGATTCTGTGCAGCTGTATCTGAAGCAAGAGGAAGGAGTCATGAGCCCAGGTACACCTGTAACCATTAAAAGCTAGAAAAAGCATGAAGATTTTCTCCTAGAACCTTCTGAAGCATCATAGCCTTGCCTGTACTTTGATTTTATCTGATGAATCTTCTCATCTACAAGACTGTGAGGCGGATAATGTGTGTTGGTTTTAATCTGTGAACGTGTAACCATTTGTTATACCAACAAAGGATTTTAACACAGGGGTTAGTACACCTACTTTTTTAGCATGTTGAAATAAAATTATATGTTTAGCATGTGAAATAAAGTGCTGGTACTTTTAACTGTCGTTCAACAAATGCCAAGGGACTTTTCCTTATTACCCAAGGAGAGTTTAAGGTTTCTCTAAGAAGGTAACATTTGAGTTGAATCTTGGTGAGGGTGTTTGTGACAGGAGGCAGCATATCTCCCCATCTAAACCAAGGGACATGTAGGCTAACAAGTGATAATTCCTGGGCCCAAGGAAGCAGATGATGTCAGTTAGACCTGTCCTACCAGGAAAATTCTTTTCTGGATAGTTGTATGACCTTGGGCAAGTATTTAACCTCTCTGGACCTCAGTTTCCTCATTTGTAAAATAGGAGAAATATGAGCTCACAAAGTCCTGGTAAATGATGGATGTATTAACAAGATGACTTGTAAATTGCTTAGCAAGCTACCCAGCATACAGCAAGAGATAAGTAAATGATGAGAAGTATCATTATTATCCCCAGACTCTTTAGAAAGGAAAGCAATGCTTTTGGTTTTGGTTTTTCATTTTTATATTTTAAAGTGACAGGTTTATTTGCAAAAAGAGAAATAGAGAGGCACCTGCTTAGGCAGGAAAGCTGTCACTCCTGTTTTTGCAAAGAGAAAAGGTGAGTAAAAAGAGACATCCCGGGGCCCTCCCTGGTGGTGCAGTGGGTTTAACCTTAGCATTAGGTAGCCAGCCTCAGCCTCTTCTGCATTAGTTTGATTCCTGACCAGAGGGTGACCCACATGGTGTGGCAGTCCTCTCCTGTCCCTCCCCTGCTCCCCTCAGCCATGTATTTCAATCAATCTGCCTGTTCTGCTCCCCACTCTGTCTCTGGGGAATCCTCTCACTGCCCCTGCACCTCTGACCTGTACCCCAGCTATGTATGTGTAAATAAATAAATCTTTAAAAGAAAGAAAGAAAGAAACACCTCGGGCCTTCTTGGTGGCACAGGGATTAAAGACAGCACTATCAAGCTCTTGGCGGCTACTGCAGCACACTCAATCCTGGGCCCACCTGCCAGGGAGCTGACCTGCATGGCGCAGCAGACCTCTTGTCTCGCCCTCTGCTTCTCAGTAGTGTATTTCAGTACATTTAACTGTTCTTCTCCCCACTATCTTTGATGAATTCTCTCACCCCTGAACCTCTGGCTTATTACACCCCAGTTCTTGCATGTATAAATAAAATCTTTTCAAAAGGAAGGAAGGAAGAAGCACCCTAGACATGGCCAGGTGGGAGACTTGCCTAGAAAGGAAGGTGACGTTTGCATAGAAAGGTTCGGGGCATTTGACAGCATCTATTCCTGATGAGAACATTTGAACATTCAAGCAAACAGAATTTGGGAAACTCAAATGTCCATTGTAAGCTGGACACATTGCCAGTTTAAAGAGTTTTTCTGATGAGATTGGTGGCAATATAAGAAGTGAGATTTTGTAAGTGAACGTTTCAAAATTTGGAAGGTTTGCGTAACTCAGTGAATCAATATTTTCCAAATGATCTATGTGATGTATGAAGTTATAAAATCATGCATGAGGAAAAGATCCTTTCAAGTACAAGAGAGACAAATGTATTCTTATCTAACAGAGAACAAAAAGTTCTTTGAGATGATTTTACATTCCACTTTGCAATTTTCCTTTTAGAAATTTGTCTGCCTTTGGCAGGTCCACAAAGAAAAATACCCACAATTACCCAGAAAGGCTATGCCTTTGAGGAACATTCTTTTTAGGAAAAGACTCTTCCCTCCCTTTCTCAGCTCCATTATGTGTGTGAAGCTGGATTTTCTTCATACATTTCAATCAAAGCAACGTATTGCAACAGACTGAGCTCAGGATCAGCTATGGAAATCCAGCAGTTTTCTTATTAAGCCAACAGCTGAGAGCTTGACAAAAACACAAAATAAAGCTAATGATCTTGTCACATAAATTTCTATTGAAGGCATCCCTGATAGTGCAGGGTAAGCCTCAGTACTATGAAGCTCTCACAGCAGGAATTCGATCCCCGGCCAGGGAGCTGACCCACAGGGCACAGCTAACCTCTCTGTCTTCTCACTGCTCCTCTCAGCAGTGGATTTCAGTCCATCTGCCTGTTCTGCTTCCCATTCTGTCTCTGGTGAAATCTCTCACCCTCCCCCCACACACACCTCTAGCCTGTACCCCAGTTTCTGTATGCATAAATAAGTAAATATTTTTTTTAAAGTGGCCCTCCCTGGTGGTGCAGCGGGTTAAAGCGCAGCTCTGAGAATCTAAAGCCACTTCCGTATGAGTTCGATTCCTGCCTGCCCCGGAGATGACCACATGGCGCGGCAGACCTCTCCTGACCCGCCCACTGCTCCACTCAGCAGTGTACTTCATCCATCTTCCTGTTCTGCTCCCCACTCTGTCTCTGGTGAAGCCTCTCACTGCCCCTGAGCCTCTGGCCTGTACCCCAGTTCTGTATGCACAAATAAATAAATCTTTTAAAAAAAAGTAATTGTTTTCATTGAAAGATGTTATTTTGGGGATGTGGTACATATACACAATGGAATATTACTCA